GAACGTTTCAATATCTTTTTATACATTTAAAAAATGTGCGATATTGTTATAGATATATTGTATTCTTCCTGCAGTACAACTTTATTTTTTCTTTATAAGAGAAGGGGGCAAACGAGCGGCGGGAACACCGAGGTGATCAACGACACCCATGGACATCTGCAACACCAGAAGAACTGCAGTTGCGTTGAATATGACACTACAAACTTTGGTGTTCAAAATATTCATAAAAAGATTATAAATCACTTACGCTTAAAAATATAGAATATAGATTATAGCAAATGCCAGCTTAAATAGCTTGAGATTATGACAATTTATTTAAATAGAATAAATTAAGATTAAGTTAAGAAAAGATTCATCAAAAAATGTCTTGTATCGATTTTTGCGTACAAATTGTTTCGTATTCTTTCTTATTAAATTTTCTTTCCCCTTTATTGTTCACTCAAAGTACAGACAACGCTCCATTTGCAGTGGATATGAATCGATATTGGCGTTAGTAGAACTCAATACCAGTTCACTTGCCATAAAAATAGTATTGCATCTCTAAAATAGGGCTATAAAATTTTGTGTCAATAAACATTTTTGTCTGCTTACTATGTAGTGTGGAAGCTTTCACGGCTCGTTAGATTTTGGGATTACAGTGATATAAATAATTTCCTTTTTTAAGTACCTTTTTGGCTGACTTGTGAATTAAGTTAATCTGACAAATTATTTAAACATTTTGAAAGTAAGACATCTTAGATAACCTAACACTTAACATTCATTACTTTGTTAGACACAGTTTCGGGTTTCCGCGTTGTTAAATAGTCGTAAGAAATAAGCCATAATAAGAGCGTGTGTCCACTTTATCCAAACGCAGCTATGATATACGAATTCAAATACACTTCAACTGTTTAATTTACTTCATTATACACAAACTACATAAAATACGAATCCTGTAAATGTACGTTCTGAATAATGTTTAAGATTGGATATTCATATTGTATTATTTAAGTTTAGCTTAAAACTGATATCAACTTTGGTGGCAACGTGATTTTACGATTTTATGCTATTTATAATAACCGTAAAAATAGACTGTAAAAATATGTAAATCTAACCTCCAGTGCAGTGAATACTCACCTTTACAGTGTTCCTTCATTAGGATATGCATCTATTGTTGCGAGCAACGAATGTCTGAGAGCGTTGCACTCTTCTGAATAAAACGACCGCACTTACTAAGCTATCGGTATTGTACCCTCAGTCGCTTTTCGTTCTATTGCTACTAATTGTAATCTTAAAAACTTACGTGACACATAGAAAAGAAGAATAGATGTGTTCTTTCATACTTTTCAATTTTATATATGAACATCTTATCACCAATATAATCTTAGTAAATTTTGAAAAAAATCTGCTAATATATAAAAAAAATCTGAAAAAAGTCATAGTTAATGAAATAAACCTGACTGGTATCAGTTTAGAATTGGTTATTTGTTATAAACAATGTTTTTTTATAACTAATTTTTACTCTGTACTTACATAATAATGCCACATTAAAAGTATTTACATTTTTCATATTTATTTGTCTGAATTATCGCATATAGCGCAAGAACTTAATAACCGCAATCCTTCATATTTATTTAATAAAATATAAAAAAAAATCTCACAACGTTAAAAAACATTTCTACGACATTATAGCGAATAATTTATGTTAGGAAGAAAATCCGACACTGTACCGGTGTACTGGCGCAACACTAGCCTTACTAAATGTCACTTGACTTTGTAAAGAAAACGACATTCACGCCAAAAGATTCTAAAATTTCATAGTGAAAGTACACCTGATCCGAAACTAATACCAAGACGTAAATATAAATAGAGAATGTGTATGTTATACATATGTATATTTAGACAGAAATACATATGTATACATGTTTTCTTTAACATAATTTTCTCAACAAAACGGGAAACGATTTGCATATTCATACATCGCGTTATCCTACGAAATTATATTCCCGCAGAAAGCAGTACGTGCGTGAAATTGTTTAAGCTCGTTATAAAATAAGATTAACTTTAATGTTTGTATTTATACGCATATTAAATTCATATCAAAATATATATAATATACAAATGCTCGTTTTTTTATTGTATTGAAATATTTTTAATAATAAACCACAGCCTAATTCTATCTATAACAAACTTTTTTGCTTTATAGTTAAATTTATTTTTGAACTTTTGCCAATGATTCTACAATGCATACTTAATACATACTAAGGAGATTGTCATCGCGATATTGTATAATACGTCAGCCACAATACATCTAACAAGTATGGAGGAGACCTTTGTTTGTGTTACGGAATCTCATATTAGTTTACAACTCCTCATGAACAGCAGTTCTATACTGTGCAAACTGGATCCAAACAGTGCGTATTACTTTCTTTCTAGTAATTGCGCAAACTACTTATAACTTTGACAAGGTTTTTAAAAATTATAATTATTAGCAGACGACAAATAAAGTAGGCGTAAATGAAATTTAAAAGTAAATTAACAGCATTAAAAGAATTTATAATATTCAATCTTAATTTAATTCTAACAATGGTAGATGCCAGCAACAACAACTATTGCACAAATGGATGGGAAGGGGAAGTGGATTTGGCAAAGAAGTGGACGCATAGGAAGGGTTTTTTTATGTAACTAAAGCATTAGTTAATTAGGTATATATTTGGCATTTACTGAAGCTACATACTAAAACTTGGCAGATTGCCAATTAAGGCTGGAGGGTTTACTTGCAAACTTCTTTGCTCATTTTAACACAAGTTTTGGCAGCTTCTCTCTTATAACATGCGCAGCTCTAGATGATAACACGAAGGGTAACAATTTAAATGATATTTTGCATAAGAAGTTGTTCTTGCAGATAACAAAACGAAAACATTTCAGTGATAAAAATATACGATGAAAAATAATCTTAAATTTATTTCGAAATGCATCTATGAAAATTGTTTTAATAATAAAGTTTCATCTATTTGTTTGGTTTGATCCATTAAAGAAATGCTAAATCATGTTCATCCGTATTGCGGTATGAAATGCACTTGATTAACCGTGGGTTACCACTGCAGACACAAAAATACCAATATAATATATTTATGCAGATGTTGCGACCATAGAAACCCACGCTAAAAAGTCTAAATTTAAATACTTAACTCTAAAAACAACCGATAATGAACAACAGATTTAATAATATTTAGATATTAACCTGATTTCAAACTATCAGCTCTAATTCTACATGTCACGCTATAAATTTAATTTCAACGAATATTTTATCATAGTCACTAGTTTTAAAACGAAAAAATCCTGCTAAACCCAGTGGTAATATTCCTGAAAGAATTTTCATTACTCTTCGCTAGCTTGAAGAATGTTTGAAACTAACTTTGATTCGTTGATTTAATATTAAATTGGATAGAAGAAAATTTATTTGCCAACAGAATTAAAGAAAATATATTATTTTTATTCATAGATAGTGTACAAGCTTCTTAGTACTTATTTAGTTGTGAAAGTTCAATGTACTGCGGAAGTATATTTTAATTTAAGATATCAATGATAACATTGCACTTAAATAAATGTATTTTCCCGCTTTGCCGCCGCTGTTAACTCCCGTGCAAAATACAATGCGCCACAAATTACATTGTTTCCTTGCATTGTTCAGTGAACTTAATTTTCATTCGTATATTTATATGTTACACATACTTAGCGTATTGTTTTCAGTAATAAGAATAAATTGTAGTAAAAATAATGTAATTTAATCAAAAAATACTTTTGATTAACAATCCATACCAGTCTTTTAGTGCAACTTGTCTTTGTTTATGTATTTTAACAACGGAAAATCACCGAAAAGCTATTATTATTATTTATTTATTTTTATATAAAATTTTATAAAAACATAAAGTAAAGCTGTTTCGGAAAAATATGGTAACTAACATTCTGACACGAGAATTTTATATATAAGATGGGTATTTTATTGCTTGGTAATATCAACACAATTTCTCAACTGCTACTCAAAGATAACACAGCTCAACTTGACGACTTGTTTATTCCCTTTGGAATGAATTTATAACAGAATACAGTTTCTTTTATCAATAGATAGGACAATAAGAACCACACCGATTACAATACGAAAAAAACTCTGCTATCGGTAAAGCTTTGCGTGTACACGAGACCTCCTGTGTAAATTAAATATTTGAAGCAAAGTATTCGTAATGTCCGCTCTGTTAAAATAGTAATTACTAATATTATATGTAAATATTTTTGTTAATAAATTAGTATATTGCAATATTATATACTGTAAGAGTGAAGAGAAATACGTTATACAGTTAGAAATGAAAGTTAAATACAGGAAAATGTATAAGTATTTAAAGGTTTTATTACTTAGAGTAATCTCTTCCTAAATATGTTTTGTCCAGCTTTTTGTACATATATATATATATAAATTGACAAAAGGTTATTGTGCTCTGTAATATAAAAGTAAAGTTACATTTATTATATGTATTGCTTTTATTCCATTTTCCGTAACTGAAACCGAATTTGCTCATTAAGATCAATTTCCAATAAAACATTTTCCGTAAAGATGTTATGAATAAAGACGACCGGTAACATAAGAGATATTGTCAAGTTATACGTAAAAAACATTTTTTTTTGTAGATGGAAAACCAGCAAAAGGCCATCTTTATTCGTCAAAATAGTTAAACGACCGCCGCCCATAAAATTCGCATTTGTAAATACCTTGCTCAATTTTAATACACAGAGAATGAGATGCACAGAAATAGAGTATTTCCTCTTCCTGTTTCACCATGTCCGCGTGCTTTTCTCATCTTTTCCTTATTTTAAAAAGAGGAAGAGGATTCCAAATTTATTACGTTAGTTACGTGGTACGTAAATTAAAATCTTCAACAAAAATATAAGAAAACTATACATCAATGACGAGAAAGAAAGCCAAAAATCTTATAAAAATAAAATATAAGGGGATTGTGATAAATTATCCAGCATTATCCTTTACATTCCAAATTTATTGGGAATCGATGTTGGCACTAGCGCTTTCAGGTTGTTGATATTTATTGCTTCATTTGAATACTTTAGCAATAATGGAAATGAGATACTTTCTTACATTTTTATTTTGAAACAAACTGTATTTTCTTCCTTATGCACTGCTAGACATTAAATAGTACCTATATTTAAAGCAATTATCGATAAACTACTGTTACAAAGGCGAATTTAAAAACTTATCAGAATTTACGAAGTACTAACATAATTCCACGCAAGGGAATTAAAAAGGTTAATTTTTATTCGACTTCATTTACGAATTAACTGTAACTCGAACTAATTTGCCTCTAACGATGATAAATATAATGTCATCATCTACATTACATTTTGTAAAATCAAAGTATATTTTGATAAAAAAATTAATTTGTCATATATTCACACATACATAATACAGAGAAGTATATTAGTATTCTGTGCTACAAATAAAGACTAATTTGGCTTGTATAATTAAACTAATTTATATTTGATCCACCACGTATCTAATATTTGCATCGCACTAGGAATTTTGTTTCGTAATTACTTGTTTGTGGTGAAATTTATTTTGTTGGTATTTTGAATGTAATTTATGTTACATGAAGCACACAAACAGAATAACAACAATATTGACTTCAATGTAATTTACTGCAATTTTAATAAAGTATAGAAACAAAGTATTATGAAGATACTAATTTTATTACTTTATTTCACAATTATTTATTTGCACATAGTACTTATTAAATAATTATTACTTTATAGGAATTAGATCACATGCCATCATCTTTATTATTCAACCATACATATTTATAAAATATAGCCGACAACGATCCACCGAGAAATGGTCCAACCCAATAGATCCAATGCGCAGCCCACGCACCCGTCCAAACAGCTGGGCCTAGTGACCTCGCTGGGTTCATGCTACACCCAGTCAGCGGACCTCCGGCGATAGATAATCCAGCAATCGTGAATCCGAATTTCAAAGCAACTGACTCAAGTGATTTTTCATTTTTAGGGTCCCATAAGGCACAATTGAGGAAATTCAATGCAGCTGTAAGAATTACTTCGACTGCTAATGCTTGGTACACTGTGAGTGCAGAATGATGCTGTGTTGTGCAAATCCCGTCAGTTATCAAATCGTACGGTGATAAAGCAATTAATATTCCATAACCAAGGATAGAACCCACGCATTGAGCTATCATATAGGCTATGCCTAGTCCTATTGACATTTTTCCCCAGAGTATAGCCGCTAATGTTACAGACGGGTTCATATGTGCTCCTGAGATATGCGCAAATGCTTGAATATTAAAAAGAACTACAAAACCGAATCCAAGTGGCGCATATAATGGTGGCTGGTATGCAAGTCCTTGAATTGGTACACATGATAAACATCCAAGTAAAACTAAAAGTAACGTAGATATAAACTCTGCTAAAACAGCTCTCCAAGTCTCACAAAATTTGATTAAAATTTTGTCAGATAATTTGTTTCTGCACTTAACTGATACACTTTCAATTACGTTCGCTAAATGTTTACCCGGTGTAACGGCCATTACAATGCACCTTTGTCAACTTTATTTAGTCACTTTACCACGCGTATATTAAGTACAGGAAATTATTTGATACTTATGCAAGGTTTTAGTGTATTGGTAACTATAATATTTTTAACACGCTGTATGCTAACAATATGACGGTTGCCATTACACTCACTGTAAAATCCGAGTTCTGTTACACAATTACATTGCTGGTATTAATGAAGTTTGTCTAAGAATTAACAAGTCAAATTCTTAAAGGAATAACGTTATTTTTTATTGCACCAATTTGTTTTATAACTACATCGTAAAGCTTCCATATTCCGTTTTATCTTAGTTTTATAACTAAAGCGATTAAATGATATAAGTTTACAATATACAAATGTAATGATTTTACGGACTGATTACATTTTCAGTTTTCATAACAGTTTTTAACTTGTGCAATATTAATGTGAAATATTCATATTTATAAATAAAATATTAACTTATATGTCTTAATTGTTAGGAGTTTAAAAGCCTAAAAATGCGCAATAGTATGTTAGATTGATTCCAATTGATATAGGTTATAGTAGAAACTGCACTTTGAAATTAGATTTTTCGCTCCACCTGTTCTATGTTTCCTTCCGCCGTAGGAAATCAAGTTAGTGGTTTTCACGGAATCGCAATTTAAATTTTGCACGTACACTTTGGCTTATATTTTTTTCAAATTTACGTACGAAATTAAAAAAAAAGTAGATTAATTTTCTCGAACTTTAATTATTTTTAAGCGGTTTTATTTAACTTTCTCTGTTTATTTAGATTTAGTAATTTAAATTGGACCTACTTCCTGTAGATAGATTGATCTGAAACCACCCAATATTTGGTCGAATAGATTTGGTAAATCTGTGTTCAGTTTGGGAAAAACTTTTAAAAATATAAACTTTTGTAGATAAACAAAATTTGTACAAATATGTTTCGAATGAAAACTTGGCAACAAACTGTAATGAACATTGAAAGTTTTTCCTTACCAATACCTATAAAAATGTCACCTTAGAATTTAAAAGTAAGAATTAAATAAAGCCTTTAAAGTTTTGTTTGGAATGTATTATTGAAAAATCAAATACCTTTAACGAAAAAACAATTTCTACCTTTTATGAAAATAATTCAAAGTAATGGAGTTTGTAACTTATGAATAATAAAGCTTAAATAATTTAATAGATCACTAAATTTACATCTTTATAATATTTACATATATTTAATAAGTTACTGATATTATTATTTATACAACTTTATATCTTTATTTACGAAAACGACAGTGTTTGTAAACTTGTTAATCATAAAACACATAATTTCCCCTGTTAGTGTGATTTTCTGGGAAATAATGTCGGCTAAATTACTAGTCGGCATCCGTTACCCTCAATATACATCCGGTGACAGGGGAGGGAACTACCGTGATTAATGTTTAACTAACGCGGAGGTATGTCATTTCCTTTTAGCAGATGTTGTGGTATATTTAATGGAATATAAACATAACTAAATTGAAAAAAAATACTAAATTAACATCAACTATACATTCAAAGATCCTCATTAAATAAGCAATTGATATTACTGAAATATAAATTGATATTGCTTACAAAAAACAAAATTAAGTAAATCTACCCTTGAAGGATCTTACTGCATTGATTCTCCATTGAGACTTACAAATTAATAAATTAACGTAAAAACAAATATTGATCATAGGAACTTATTTATTCGAATTTTCGTACGTAGTTCCTTGGCATATAGACATTGTTGTGTGATAAACAAACAAATTAGATTACGACAACAAATCAGTCAAGCGCAGCTCATGTTTGCTCCGCCTACGCGAACCCCATCTTTAACTTAGCTGTTCTATTTACAAAATAAAGAAACACTTACTTTTTACTGAAACAGTAATCCGTAGAAGTATAAGCGGTATAAGAATATATTGATTAAATGTTATAAAAAAATGCAATATATGTAGGTTTGTTCTCCATACACAAGAATACGTAATCAGGCGTAGCATAGGTCTACGTAAATCTACAAGTCGGCACTCGTAGCACCACTGTTGATTTTACTACATATTAACGATAAATCAATTTATCATTTAAATTTAACAATTATCGATTTCAACCCACTTTGATAACAACCTTCAAAAACATTTCGTGTTTGAAAAATATTGATGAATGTTTCGCCCAAAATCTAAGAAATTTAATTAGAATTACTTCAAAGGTAAGTTATTAAGCTAACTTAATAACATCTTAAGCACTAACTAGCTCACGAACTTTAATACAATCTGTCCGACTTCGAAAGTTTCAATTAATCGTGAGCTTAGCGGTGTCCAACTTTGATAAATGTTAACACAATTTTCTACACTTTCTATTTGTTTCATAATTTAAATTTAATATTTCGAACAAGATTTATCATTAACTCTGGTACTTTTACGGAATATCTTAATAAACTTTTAATGTTCACGCTGAATAGCTTTCTAATTTATTATTATTTTCAGAATTGTAGCCAAATTATAATTTTCTATAGCAATGAATTTCCATTACCTAACATAATAAAAAACCTATGGTTACCACTCCGTCTAAGTAGCAGGCTTTTGTGGCAATCTAACCTAACTATGGTCTGCTACCATCAAATTCGGTTCCCACTGCACAGCATACCTTGGACTACGAGTTGCAGGGGGTGACGTAATATTATAAAAAGTTGAAGTGGCACTTACCAACTCGAGGCCCCGTTCACCGCCTGCAGGTGTCTGGTCACTCTGTCAGTCGAGTCAAATAAATCACATTCAAATAGTCTTTAGTCACCCGAGATGCTGCACTCCTGAAGCACCCGATGCACTGCTAGCTAGCGGGCTATAGATTTCACATTGTCGAACCGAACGCAGAAACGTAAACTTAAGTGACCCTGTACGTTACGAAACCGACAATCCGATGTGTAACTCTTTCCGTACAACTTCCGTCGACTCCCGATGCTGACGCTTAACTGTGCTGACTCACTGCCTTCCCCGCACAAGCCCCCGCAAGCCCCGCGCGCGACCGTAGCTGTGAGGAATTTCCAACTACCCACTTGCGCAGGGAAATTAAAAATGTGTCGAGCTACCAACATAAACCTATATAGCCGAACCGCGAAATTCATAAATACAGTTCGTCATTGAAGATGACGAACCACATTGCATTTGTATCGAACAGGTAATGCACAGTTAGACGTATAATTCTTATCTTACTTATATTATAAATGCGAATGTTTAGATAAGTGGTTACCAAACTTATTTTGTCTCTTACCCCCCTTGAGACCTGCAGCGCCCACAAGGGGGCGTTATCGCACACTTTAAGAAAGACTGGTTTAGATGGATGGATGTTTGTTAGAAGGTATCTCCAGAAAGGCTGCATGGTTATCTATGAAATTTGGCATGGGTGTAGAAAATATTCTGGAAGGACACATATGCTACATCCACTAATTAGGTAATTTATTAACCCGCGTACTGAGTCGCGGGCGACAGGTATATTTAATATGTTTATTGTCAAAGTTACACCATAGTGATGATACGAAGATATTGTATGCCGTGACAAGTGTGCATTTTGAACATCATGCATGCATGTGCTTGCATGAATTATTCAACCAGGTGCAGCGCAGTGTGTACAAAGAGCAGTGCTTCTAGTTGCAAAACCAATTTCGAATGTACGCGTCGAAAATGCGAAGCTCCCAATCCCTACATGGAAGTAGTCTAAATAATGCATTCGCAAGCCGATACCAGTAATAATGTGGCTTGAGATCGTGCTCTATGACATATTTGTAACCAATAGTTGCTCCCGCTGTACTGTCATGTCGGTTTGTAAACGAGTATAACTTATCACTACATCGCCAAGTTACAGGTAAGTAGTTAGCTTTGCATCAATCGGCTTTCTTTTGTTTAATTTTTTTTCCTACAAAGACTAAGAAGGTTTTCCGCGAAATATAGACAAATAAGTGGTTAAAAATGTAATTAACAGTGTAATTGGCGTGGATGTTTTACGTAACTATAAAGTAGAACTAATCTTCAGTAATCTATGATTAATATACATTATTGCATAGAAGCCATTACCGGCATGAAATCTCATGCAAGCTGGATTAAATGCTAAAACTAATTAATTTAGAACATATAGTTTTACAGTAATTTTACCTAACTGACAAGAGATTTTTTCGAGTGTGTGTTTTTATGTATGTAAAAAACTTTGTGATGGCCTAGAGTCTAAACGACTGAACGGATTTTGGCCTTGGTGGTATAATTCGATTCGTCTTCTTCCCCGGAATGTCATATAACAAATTACTGAACCAAAAGGATATAGTGAACGCTGGGGATGAAATTCTAGTAAAAACTAGACTAGACTAGAAACGATTCAAAACTAGACTAAAACCCATTCTAGTCTATCACTCCAAAGCTTTCTTCATTACTGATTTGAGATTGATTCTTTAATCACTTGCGTTTTAAAAAGTTGTCTTGTACCAAGAAATACAGTTCGATTTTTTCCGAGACAAATACACTTAAGAAAGCTTACATTTATGAGCATCTAAATGCATCTTGTAGCAAAAGAATAATACAAACGAGACCGGATTATATGATACGAATCCGTTTTGCTTGAAACAAATAAAAAACAATTGCATTCTGCGAACCGTCTGTCTCTATGAAAAACTGGCGCTCCGCTTAATGAGAACTCTTTTAAAAATCTTCTCAGCCGTAGGTTGATATTCTTTGTAACATTTTCTGCTACTTTCTTTTTACAGGAATGTAAAACAATTTTATAATTTTATGATGTGAGTATTAAAAAATATATAATAACTGCATTTAACGCTGAAAAGCAATTATATAAATATATTCCGTATCTAGTTCCACTGATGTTTTATTTCTCAACATTGTTTCTGTAAAAATTGTTAGCCAAAAAAATAAGCTTCAACAACAAAAAAAATAACATTAAATGAATCATAATGTTTATTTAACGTAAACATTACAATTAAGCAAATAATAAATTCTAAGATCCACATACCTTAATTAGATGCAGAACGCGTCCTAGGTAGCAGTACGGAGACAATATACGCGGCGTCTGCAACAACAGATGGCGCTTCAGGCTTTCATCATTTCACTGCAAAACACAAACATTAACCTAAATTAAAGTGCCGTTTGCAACAAAATTAGATGG